AGACGAATCAAGATTCGCTCAATTTTTCGGACAGTGGAAGGATATGGGTCTAGAGAATGCCTCACCAAGAGCTTTGGCGCAACCGATTGCAGCCAACTGTGAAGTATGATGGTTTCAGTGTGATGGTTTGGGGAGCTCTTTGAGTTGGTGGGAGATCGAGCTCAGTGCAGTGCGTTGGCAACATAAATTTTGCGAAATACGTCAAAATATTGTAGGAAGGACTCTTGCCACTTTATTCATCGGGCTTCGTGGACAAGAACACAGCGTTGTTCCAGGAAGATGGAGCACCGTGTCACACTACTAGAAACACCCAAAAGTGGCAGGAAGAAAATGGCATCCAGAAGTTGCCCTGGCCGAGCCAATCTCCTGAATTGTCGACAAGGGGACGGATATAAAATTAATTTGTTTGAATTAAAGGGTGATTGCATTATTTTGTTAAAGATACCAATCGGCAGGAATTGTAACTACAATGACAGGGAAGTAAATGTAAGGGAGCCAATTACTTTTTTTTTGTAACTACAATAACAGGGAAGTAAATGTAAGGGAGCCAATTACTTGTTATGTAACTACAATAACAGGGAAGTAAATGTAGGGGAGCCAATTAATTTTTTGTAACTACAATAACAGGGAAGTAAATGTAGGGGAGCCAATTACTTTTTTTTGTAACTGCAATAACATGGAAGCCAATTACTTTTTATGTGGGGGCGAGCATATTTTGTAGTTACGTCACTGGTAGGATCCCTGCTTCTTTAAAGCTGGTTCATTTTAAAACTGCACTTGCTTCGATACCTTTATGTAGTCGCAGCCTCTGTAAAAGATCTGGTTAATGTTGAAACTGGTGTTAATTAACAGGGTGTCTTCTCCTATTCACGAGTATGTTGCTATTGCACTGAGATTAGTAGACGTTTCCGTGATTATTGCCACAGTGAGTGGGTGTTATAGAGATCTGGTAAATATTGAAACACAAATTAATTATAGGATGTTAGTTTACTTTGGCCTAAGTTCAGGACTACAGCAGGCCAGAAGGTATATATTTCAGATAAAAGATACATTATTCATGTGTGTCACTATTACTGTTCGTAGCTTTGTGTGCATGTGGCAGTCTGATAAGATAGTGACGTCCGTGAAGGTCTGATAAGAGTGGTTTTATGAATGCTTGATAAGATAATGACTCTCTTGACGACCTGATAAGACAGTGACTCACATTATTGTTTGGTAAAAGAGTGACTCCTTTGACGACCTGATAAGACGGTGACTCCCAGGACTGCTTGATAAGATAGTGACGTCCGTGAAGGTCTGATAAGAGTGGTTTTATGAATGCTTGATAAGACAATGACTCCCTTGATGACCTAATAAAACGGTGACTCCCATGACTGCTTGATAAGATAGTGACTCTCTTGACGACCTGATAAGACGGTGACTCACATTAGTGTTTGATAAAAGAGTGACTCCTTTGACGACCTGATAAGATGGTGACTTCCAGGACTGCTTGATAAGATAGTGATTCCTTTGACGACCTGATAAGACGGTGACTCCCATGACGCTTGATAATATAGTGACTCCTTTGATGACCTGATAAGACGGTGACTCCCATGAGTGCTTGATAAAATAGTGACTCCTTTGACGACCTGATAAGACTGTGACTCCCAGGACTGCTTGATAAGATAGCGACTTCTTTGACGACATGATAAGACGGTGACTCTCATGACTGATTGATTAGATAGTGACTCTCTTGACGACCTGATAAGACGGTGACTCACATTAGTGTTCGATAAAAGAGCGACTCCTTTGACGACCTGATAAGACGGTGACTCCCTTGATGATCTGATAAGACGGTGACTCCCATGAGTGCTTGATAAGATAGTGACTCCTTTGACGACCTGATAAGACTGTGACTCCCAGGACTGCTTGATAAGATAGTGACTCCTTTGACGACCTGATAAGACTGTGACTCCCAGGACTGCTTGGTTAGATAATGACTCCTTTGACGACCTGATAAGACTGTGACTCCCATGAAATGTAATACCTGAATAATAAATGACAGCATATTTCGACACAAACACTTAATATGTACTTTTCACTTATTATTCTCTGAATAATTCGACAGTTAACGGTGACAGAAATACAAACTGCTGAAAAAACAAATTCTCTATAACGTTGCTCGGATCACATGAAAGAAACTATAGTAAGAGAAACACAGGAAGACACATGATTAGCTTATAGTTTAAATACCAAACTCGAACAGCGTTTTAAACCTACTTCAAAGACTGTGTAGCTTCAGCTACAGTGATAACATATACGTTTCCTGTTTGAAAATATGCAGGCTAGCTTCAATGGCGTGAACTCGTACTAATGATAAAATCAACTTTTTCTGCTTATTACATCGTCCAAGTGGTGCTTAAATAACTGGCATATGCTTGCTTATATATGTTAAAATATCCAAAAAATTGTGTCACTGGTGGAATTCATACATTTTACACATTTCGTCATGGGACAATGCTACAGCCATACGCTAAACTACAAGGATATTATCACCATGCTCCAGTCACACGCTAAACTACAAGGATATTATCACCATGCTCCAGCCATACGCTAAACTACGAGGATATTATCATCATGTTCCAGTCACACGCTAAACTACAAGGATATTATCACCATGCTCCAGTCACACGCTAAACTACGAGTATATTATCACCATGCTCCAGCCACACGCTAAACTACGAGTATATTATCACCATGCTCCAGCCAGACGATAAACTACAAGGATATTATCATCATGCTA